GTATATCCTGTTCTTAGTTTTCCGCCTTTTGATACATATCCTTTTCCACTTCTGCCTTGAGCGTGTCGCACAAGTTGCATTGTCCTTAGTTGCTGAAAAGGAGTCGAGAGTTGTCAGCGAAGAAGGGGTTTTGCCTGGCTTGTCTAGGCTCAATTTCATAACAAAAACTTGAGCACGTTCTATCCCTAGCCCCCTGCCGCCCCCTCCCCCTCTACAACCCAACTTAACCCAAACGCCTCAGTGCAAACAATTTAGCACGGCCTCAGCGGAGACTTAATCAAAAGCCAACTTAGGGATCCTGGCAGACTGTCGTCTGAGCCCGATTCAACCGACTCCCGACGCTTATAGTGCCTCGAAAGTGTCAAGTTTATACCTGCATTCAGGTAATATTTTTTCTTATTAGGCAAAGTGCCTGGCGGCCATTTAAACTTGAAAACTGTGTAAAGTTCATTGCGCTGAATGGTGTGAAATGTAAACAAACTGGAGATTGTATCTCTTGATGCCTTGCTTGAATAGTTGGAGCAAACTGAAGACTTAGCTTAATTAATTATAATTCATGGAGTTTTGAAAAAAATCTAGTTTTAGAAGTCTTTTCACTTGTCTTGCAATCCTCAGTTGAAAAATGTGTTTCACAGCTGGTTCCACAAGTTTCCTGTTCCCCAACTACTTTCCGATTTTATGAGCAAATAATATTTGAGCAAAGATTTCCGATTCCATTGGTCGCAGCTGTTTTTCGGGCAGATCATCAAAAAATCTTTGTGTCAAATTTATGAAGGCAGTAAAAACGTATAAAACACTATGCTGAAAGACAAAAGAAACCATAAAAAGCAGTTGTCTTTAATGAAATGAAACAATTACCAAAGACGCAGCTCAATAAAAACACAATATACAGAGGAAAAATAAAGAAATCGTTAAAAAGAAAAGAGGAAGGCAAAAATTCACGGTCAATGTAAAGGCAAAGCCGTAATAACAACGAAAAATGCAAAAAATAAAGCAGACAACGAGAGAAGCTGAAAAAAGCAAGTAAAAAACGAAAAAAACATGGTATAAATCAGCTTGGCAACAGGCCAAACAAATCGAGATGCAAATTGCGATGATGAAAGCGTAGGAAAATCCTCCTTTACCATTCTCCTCCCCGTTTCCCGCCCCTTTTGGGTAGGCTGTACAAAAAAAAAAAAGAGTTCAAAACTTGCGGTTAATCGGAGCCCTAGTGCTCCCTCTCTTTCTCCTGGCACATCCCTCTCTCTTTCTGCGCAGCAGTCAGCTGTGTTTTGTTGCCAGGCAGGATGCGGCAGGGTCGCCATTTTTTGCCGCCATTATGCCGCCTCTTTACCGTTAGCTTCGGCAAAGCCATCCACGAAGTTGCCGAGCAAAACAAAATGGTTGAAAATGTCAAGTGCGGCAGAGACGCCGGCAGCGAAAAACAACGCCTAGCAGCAAAACAGCTGTTAGCAACAGCAAAAAATTAAGCCAAGCCAAGCGAATGATGCGAATTTGCATGCCAAAACGAAGCAACCGAGAATTGGAATTGGGGGTTGGTAAGGTGGAAACAGTGATGGGAAGTATCTATTTGTAGTTAACGGTGGGTACCTGCGGTACTTAACTTATAAAGTTATTAACATTCTAAAAAAAGGTTACTTTACTACTACTAGCATTCTGTTATTAGAATTTTGATTACTATGATTAAAAGTATACAATTTCTAATAGAATAATTAGGTTACATTGTAAATAGTATACAAGTAGATAAGGTATTGTTACTACTGTACAATTTACTTAAACCTTTTTAGAAACTAGTTCCATAACAGATCTAAGAATACATTTTCAATTAGTACATTCTAAGTTTCCCACTAGGTACAAATAAAAAGTACCTTTTCCCATCACTGATTAGGAACCACTGCTGTCATTGCACCTTTTGTTGGGCGCCATTTGGAGTGGGTTGTAGGGTGGGTGTTGGGCTCTTTGGATGCTGGATGCTTAATCCTCTCCCAAAACAAAAGGCTCCCTCCTGAGTTTTTTTTCTGTTTTTGGTAGGGTAAAGCTCTGTTGGTATTTAGGAATTTTTGTCGGGGTTGTTTGCGCCTCGCATTTTTAGGCTTTTAGGGTTGATAGCTGGCTGATGATGACTAAGCGCGTTTGAGGCTAAAAGTATTCTGTGATTCTGGCTTACATATAAAGGACGAGCTGGGGGAACCAGGAAAAGGGTGCTCGCATCTTGGTTAACTACAGTTTATCCCGTTCTTGTTTCGAGTGCTTTAAGCATTGTTCACTAGTTTCGGGATGTGTCACTATTAGATAAATTATCCACTTGAGTGGCTAACTGAAGTACAGGATCGGCAAGTGTGGAAAAGGGGTATTAAAGATTTGAGGGTAAAATGTGATAAAGTGGAAAACTTGACTTTTTAAGGAAAATGAGTATGAAATTACTAGGAAAAAAATTATCAACTATCTTTGCTTAGCAAACAGATTTTTGCTCAACTTTAACTATGATATACAACAAATAATTTAAAAATATGATTTTTAAGACAAAAAAATATGTTAACGCCCAAAAGTGACTCACGCCAAAACCAAGAAGGGAACTCTCTTTATTTTTTTTTTGGCTTGACCAACTGTTGCTGACAGTAGCAAAAAAGGTAACAAACCAAATAAAACAGCGAACATAATAAAACAACAATTCGGTTATTTGGCGGAGCTAGACCGCAGCTGGCAATCATCGACAGCGACAAAATCTATTATGCAAAGCCAACACAAAATTAAGGAACGCGAATGAAAAACCGCAAAGCAAACATGAAAAGCGCGCAAAAAAAGGAAAACAATAAAAAACTGACCGCACTCAACGTGGCCGGGCACAAAAGCTACTTAAACAACCGTTAAGTCAAACACTTTGCAAATGGCCAACACCCTCAACCCGTTCGGCCCCCTCGGAAAATCGGAAAACTAGTTGCCTAAGGTCAAATGGCGTTTAATAATTTGGGTTAGCCGAGCCAACTGTAACAGATACGGGCACTGAGATTGAGATACATATCTTGCAGATACCCAGATACATAGCCACACACTCCAGCGACTCAAAAGTAAGACATTCGACTCGAGTTTGGCGCGTGCCAATTAAACGTGCTTAGCTCTTTGCTCCCAGCTCTGTTTTTACCGCTTTTGGTTTCTGTTCCCCTGCTTTGGGCCAGGTCTTTATTTTCCCGCTCTTTGCTGGTCCAGCACACGCCCAATTTTTTTGCCGAGAAATACGGGTAATATCGCATGACAGCCAACTTGGCAGTTGTCTTGCATCTGTCTCGCTTTTTGTATTGGCGCTTACCACATTAACAGATTTCAGTCGGGATTAGTGCGAGATTTATGCGCCTAGTTTAGGGGAGTTTTACCGATATGGAGCTTAAAATCGATCTTAATGTGATCGATTTATGCTATGATATCAATACTATATTATTACTTAATTTGTGAGTGGAAAATAAAATATTCTAAGTGAGTAATACGTATAGTGATCCCCCATAACTAAAAGTAAACAGTTTTTAAATTCCCTTATTTTAATCTGGATAACTTGTTGTATTTATCAAGCTACCGACCTGTTTAACTAAAACTGTTTACAAATTCATTGTAACTTGATCCCGTTGCTCCAGTAATCCAACATGTTTGTGTTTTTGCATTTTTGTGACTTCCAGTTTATTTGGTCAGCTCCCTCCCCCAATCGAAACTTCTCAATTACTTCTCAATTTTCCCCTTTTTGAACTTGTTCGATTAATTTTTATTGAATTACCGTTTTTGGTTGCGGCTTCCTTTCGAGTGTGGCCGAGTAATTTAATGCAAATTTCGTGTTGCCTTCCGCTCTCCCTTTTTTTTGTGCTGATAAGCTGACAAAGTGCTGACCTGACCATACACAAAAAATAAAAAAAAAAAACTGGGAAAAAGAAAACAAAAACAACCTGGAGGCAGTTGACGCAGTTGGATGAGTCAACAACCTTGAAAAGTGAAACTTGCACAAGAGGAACTGAAGCAGTTAACAAATAAAGTCACAACAACAACTTGGCTAATTGCTGACCCATTTAAAAATGAGAAAAACTTTCATGACTGCCCAGATATTTCCTTGTGAATTTCATGTGGATGTGATAACGATGTGTAAAGTAAGAATAATAATACAAAATTCCCGATAAAACTGGTTTAACTTAAAATAATTCTAAAATTAAATGCAATTGTTAGTCAACATTAGGGTTATGTAAAGATCACTTTTATGTTGAACTTGACGAATAACAGATATTTAAAGGTTCAAAACTAATGAATAGGTAATATTCCGCTGATTTTGAAATATTTTTCTTAAGGGTCAAATAGACGAGGTGTTTTAAATATGTTGTTTAAATTCCGAAGATCTCTTTATCGTTTTCTTTCAATAAACGTGTAAAATTTATTTACTTTATTGGTGAAATAATTTAATAATCATTTTAAACATAAAAATATCAGTTAGCGATCGGTTGTAAATTTGTTTACTAGACTTCCAAAAATTGGGGAAGAATCGCAAAAAAATTATATAAAATTAATTATATAAAATTATTTTGTAAAGATTTCTATATTTTGGTTTTAAAATATTAAATGCAGTATCTAGGTAAGTTTGTGCTCTGAAAAGATTTAAAATATTTTTGTAGTGCAATTCTATCAGAAAAAACAAAGACACCTATTTTTAAGAATATTAAGACTGGAAGAGGCTTGAAGTTTTTTAAAGGGAGTCTTCGAATTTGGTTTATATTCTAACCTTAACATTGAATTTGTTTATCCTGTGATTTTGAAGATTTACCTCTAGTTCTGATATTGAAAATTAGCTCGATCTAAAAAGTTTCTGAATTTATTTTAATTTTTTTTAGTACCACCTTGTTTTGTTATCCAACAGATGCTAACAATCGGAAATTTCCATGATCCCTAAGATAAGTTCTGGGTGTTTTTCCCTAAGCTTGCAATTAAAGTTCATAAGACTAAATATTTTTTGACGATCTTTTCGGACTTACCGCTCTGCTGGCTCTGGTAGATCCTGACCCACTCGTAGAGGGCGTAGAGCACCTGGTCGGTGGGCAGTGGCGACTGCATCGGCGTCTGCGTGGCCGACGAGGTGGTGGTGTTCGGCGATTGCGAGGCGACGCTGCTGGCGCCGTCCGAGGACGAGGAGGCGGAGGACGACGACGAGGACGAGGCCGAGGAGGCGGAGGACACGCCCGAGGAGGAGGTGGAGGAGGATGCGCTGGAGGGGAGTGGGTGGTTGTGGGGGGAGGAGTTGCCCGAGGCTCCCGATGAACTCGAAGCTACGTCATCGGCGCCGCCCTCGGGCAAATAAAAGGGCACGGCCATTGTGAGGGTGTGTGTGTGTGAGCGCTGGCTTCCTTTTTGTCCTTATCCGTTTCCTTCCTTCCTGCTCTTTGTTTGCACTTCTCTGCTTCTGATTGTTCTTCGCTGGTTTGTTTTGCTTTTTTCGTTTAACTTTTAGTTAGAGTTCACTTTAATTGATTTTGTATTTCTTGTGCAAAATTTTGAATATTAGAAACTTTTGCATTTTTTCGTGCAGTTTTTTTTATGATTTGTTTTCTTTTGTCTCGATTTTTCGAACAACACTCAAGTCAAGTTTTCGGTCGGTTAGTTAGTGTTTCGGATTCTTTTGCATTTTTCATCAAGCCTTTTCGTGTCTAGAACTGATTTAAAAACACAAACAACTTTTGTCACGGTGGTTCTTGTTTATTTTTTTTGTTTCTCTGCTGCTGCTGTTGTCAATTGGGGAAGAGCACTTAAAACGTGTCGCAGACTCAAAGAAAGAGGGCAGAAAACACGTCTTACTGGCTCCGCGGCTAAAAAAGAACTGTTCGCACTGGAGCCTCAAACTACAGCGACGGCGAGTCGGCGGCGACGCTGGCAGAGAGGCGGCGTAGGCGCAACGTAGGCCGCAGCCAGTGCAATCGCAATCTCTCTCGCTCTCGCACGCTCCCGCTCCTGCACATGCACATGCATGCAGGTAGTTGTGGGCGGGGGAGAGGGCTGGGGGAGGTGAGAGAAAAAATTTAAAAAAAACTTGCTCTTTGTGTTTTTACTGACTGAGTGGGGAGTATATTCGAATTCGTAAAAATTGTTTTTCTTGTTTTTGTTTTTCCCATAAGATTTCAAGGCTTAAAGCCTACTTTAAATATAACATGACAGGACAATAAGATCTTAGCAAAAAGATCATCTTCAAACAATAATTAAAATATTTTTAGGAAAATGGAAACAAAGTTATTACTCCCTTATCCTTGAAATAAACTACTCTTTTTTTCTACTACCTTTTTAATACTCTTTGATAAGGATAAGATTTTCCCCCAATCAACGAGTACAGGGTATTACAAAGTCTATTGGTCCAGGAAGAACGTTCTTTCTTGTTTCAACTGAGAGTGAGTGGGCAGTATGTGTGTGTGAGTGGGTACACAAAGATCTTGTTGAGCAGGTAAATGCAGAAGAAGAAGAGTCGGCAGAAGGAGCGAAGCGGAGGCAGTGACGCCGACTGCGCTGCCCAGCGAACGCTAAAGCAAAACAAAAACTGCAATTGTACTGTACAATGCTCTTCGCCTGTGGTTGTTGCTATTGCATTTTGCTCTTGCCTTTTGATTTTTTATATTTGTTTAAAAAAGAGAGCGGAGGGAGAGCGGCCGAGCGTTTTTAAGAGGTCTCAAAACGCAGCAGAAAGAGTATGAGGGATTGGGAGTAGATTCTGAGTGGGATCAAAAAGTATTAAAAAGGTAGTAGAAAAAAGGAGTATCATTTTTTAAGGGGATACAATAAAATGAATTGTAAAATTTTTAAAGCTTAAAAAAAAAGAAAAGTGATCGTTACTATTTACATACACAAATATTATTTTCCTATTTTATAAAAATTATTTGAATATTTTTTTTCTTAAATTTTGTAAATGATGAATAAAAAAATATATAATTTATTGCCTTACGTAATTTCTTACATTTTTATTTGTTTACTTTTTGATTTAAAAATTATAAAAACGTTAAAGGTTGTTTAACGAAAATATTTTATGTTTATTGAGACAGATGTGGATTTTTTAAAGTAAAATCCAAAACTGAGATACATTTGTATCTAAAATATCAAAAACAAAGTGCTGTCTGCTTTTTAATATTTCTGATTTGGATATTGGTTATTTTTTATTCAATTTCACCATATATCAAAAAATTGACTGGGCAACATGAAAAACCAGTTCTTGCTCTCTTCTTCTATTCCTCCCCCCTCCCACCCACACTTCCCATAAACAGGCTTTTTCTCTCTCTCTTTCTCTCTTTAACTTCTTCTCTGTCTTCCACAACTTTGCGCGCGAAAATGCTTGAAAAATATTACGAAATATCAGTAAAACATTTTTATGCTTTTAATTCAAATTTGATGGTATGTTTAATGGTTTTAAATGCATTTGATTTTAATGTAATGTTAATAGCGTTATACATTAAATCAGTTTTTCTCAATTTAGGGTTAATAAAAAAAATTATTTAGAAAAACATATGTTTAACTTTAGTCTTTACATTAGGTAAAATGCTTAAAATTACAAATTATTCTGGTGATGGTTTTATGTTTATAATTAACTAGAAACCAACTTTTTTAATCAAATAGTTTAGAAAACTCTTGTTATTTATTTAATTAATATTATGTTTCCAATGCAAGGTTAATTAGGGTCAAAAATATTCTGATAAAGTGCGATAACGATAAGCGAACGACTCAAGACCCATTATGCAAGGATTTCCAAAGATGATGAAATTCAAGCACACACATGCACAAAAAAACATAAAAACATGAACATGAGCGAGCATGCAACATGCGAAGAAGTCCAAAGCAAAGAGAGAAAAACGGAGGAGGAGGGGCAAACAGGGATTAAACAGAAAAAGGGGCTCGATTTTTGTGATTTATTCTTTGTCTTTATTCAGCTTTGCTTATGTTTTTTAGCGTGGCTTTTTTATTCTGTTTATGTCTTTTCCATTTGCAACTCCAATTACTTCAGGCAGTGCAAAAAATATACAACAATATTTGGATACGAAACTGATTAAGCGTAATATGAGTGATAAGTGTCGTCGAATTGGCTGCCAGGGTCCACATAAAGAAACACAAACAAATAATACGGTGAATTGGATAGGAGGGGGTGGGGTGTTGTCCATTTTAATTCCTGATTGTACAAGCCAAATAAAAAATGAGATAAGAGTACTTCGAATGGTAGTGATGAAATCAACTCCAAGATACAACGCAGTTTTGAAAAGTTATATTTTAAATCATTGGTTTATAAATCGTACTGACTTTAATAACATTTCTATCATCCAATAACAATACATCTTAATTAATAAAATAGTATGTATATTGTAAAATACTAATTTTTTTCAAATAAATACAGCAAATAAAAGTTATAGAAATCATCATTTCATTAAAAGAAACAAATAAATAAGTTATTTTAACGTAAATAATACATTTAATATAACAAATGAATTGGATTTTTGATTATAATGTATGTATTCTGTTAACAAAGTTCAGAACTTCATGCATATGGGTAAATTAAGAGACTAGGAACACTTAAAAAATCTCCAGTCCTATCAAAACTGAAGTCCCACAAATCAACTCACCACGCGATAGAGGCAAAACAAATGGAGTATGGAGAAATAAAAATTAAAAGACTTCCCTGTTTGACATTTCTGGGTCAGCGACCCAAACAAGCTCCACTCTTCCATCCCGCTCGCTCTTCCATTCCGCTCTACCCGTCTCTTTTCCCCCTGTATGCAACCCTCTTAACTGGGGCCCAGCCCATTTTGCTGTTGCTTTTATTATTATTGAATATGATTATGTGGCACGCTGCAAAAGCGAGCGTAAATTATTTATTACACAATTTCTGCAGCCCAACAACAATGAAAACAAATAAATTTCTGCATTCAACTCGAGTTTACTATTATTTCTGGCTGGCTACGCAAAAAATTGTGACGAAAACGCTGCCGCTCGCTTCAATAAAAATAAATATAAATTCATATTTGCAATAAGTAGCAGCAGCCGGCAGCAAGAACAATAACAACAATGGCAATAATAAAAATAACAACGGGAGCAATCAATTAGGAGGAGGCCAAACAACAGTAAATTGTGCGCCTGCGCAGCGGCCCCAGCCGAGCGGGATTGCAGGAAGTGAGAGCGAGACGGGCGACGAAGGGGCGGTAGACTGTTCTACACAAATTACCGTTAAATTAAGCGCTCGCGATCGTCACTTAAACGGGAAAGTTAACGCACAGACAGAGACAGGGCGAGCCAAGGAGTGAAAGGAAAAGAGAAAGAGAAATAAAGAAAGAATTTCTAAAAAATTTGAATATTTTAGAAATTTATAAATTATACATATATCATAATTGTTAGTAATATTAAAGAAAAGCTCCTAAATGAGATGAAAAGGTATTAATTTTATTATTACTTTATTTATAAGAATTGATCATTTATAACGAAAAGATCATAATTCGACGTCTATGAAATACTCGTGTAGCTTGTAAATAAGTCGAATTTATATTTGAGATTTGTTACAAATTGATATTTTTTGAAACATCGAAATTAATATTTAAAAATTAATCTTGTAACTGTCATTAATTGTGTTATTCACAATTGCTCTGCTGGGAATAAATTATATACATAGATGTGCAAGTAACACACTTTGGTTGAAATATCTTTACAATAATTTAAACATTATATTGTCCAACATAGTTACGTATAGAATAACGATTCTAAAGTAGATTAAAGCTAATATAAATTTATATAAAAGTAACTTATGTTATAACCACGAGTGCTATTTTTTCGGTTCATGGAACTGTTATGAAATATTTTTATTAGGGGACCATACACGTGTGCCATGGATTCTGGCAACAGGCCCATCTTTGAGAGTCTCCAGGATGTGGATGTCACTCCCCTATCAATTTATTGATTTAGAGCCCCAGTTTCCCCCTCGAACTAGCTTTCCAGCAGCATAAATATTATTCCCTTGAAGAAGTTACACTTTCTATGGCCACCCATTTTTCATTTCTTTTACTGAGCCCCCCTCCTGCAATCAGCATCTGCCATCTCCCGATGACCTGCTCTTGATAAGGCAGAGGCAGCACGCCCCCTTCCCTACCACCACCCCCTTCGCACCGCCCATGCCAATTGCAACTGCAGTGGCTGCAAATGAAGCGCGCGGCAGAAGTTGCATACACGGAAAAGAATTTTACAGAATAATAATATATAAACCAATTTTTATATATTTAAAATTAAATTTTTGATGATAAATGATTTATTTTACTTGGAAGTTCAGTACACTATTATATTTGGTAACGCAGAAATTAGATGAAAGGTTGGAAATTCTTACAGATTTTGTAAGAAAACATGTAATTCTATAACATTTAAAATATTTGTATTGTTAAATAATTAAAAATTAAGTAAGCCAGATTAATTCTTATTATAACTTTTGGCATCCACTCTGTTTTTTTTAGTGCCGGAGGCCCTGCAGATGATGGAAACGAAAAAGAAGAAGAACCAGTAGGAGCAGATGAGGAGCGAAAGGCAGCACGCGACTAAAGCGTCACATGTGCCGCAATCTTGGCCAGCTCCAAGCACACACAGATACACACCCATACAAGCGAACCCAGCATAGGCTGTCCCACTCCCTCCCTGCCCCATCTCTCTCCCCACTCAGGGGCAATGGCAAAGCGAAGCAGCTGCGAAAACGCCAAGAACGTTGACTTTGTGGAGAAGCAAAAAAAAAAAGTTAAACAAAAAAAAGGAAGAAATCGGGGGAAAGAACACGATGATGATGATGTGGGGAACTTGATGCTGTGC